CTTTGACTCTCTCACAAAATCAATCTCCAAAAATTTTTAAACTATTCGCTTTTTCATAATAACATTTTTGTAGTTGAAACTTTGTGAATCTGCTATTACCTTAAACAGTGAATTTTGGGAAGTAACATTGACTGACCCTCGATTTAATTTTCGACGTTGACTTAAATATTAAACTCTAAGATTTCAATTATAGCTAAATAATTTCTTTACTGGATAAAATTACTTTATTATCCATTCTGCTTTATGGTTACTGATATTAAGTATCACACAAAATAATCGTGAATGAACGATGTAAAGCCAGCTTCAAACGTGCGTTTCGCATCAACCTTACTACCTCAGCAATCTACTTCGTTTACACATTCAGTTTTTTATTGCAATTCACGTGTGTGATCTCCATTTTCATGTCATAATATACATTATGAAAATAGCCGCAGATGTTATGAAAAAGCTTAATACAATCTCCAGATTAATAAACACATCATTAGTGTTTTTACTTCGTGTAAGCTCGTCTTATTCAATGACTATGAATTATTATCCAACTCGAGAAGATTTTTCGTTTAACGGTCGTTTTCAATCAGTCGCTTTTAAGTCTTATTCCGAGGCCGGACTACGAATTTGAGATGTGGAGCACAATTTTGCATTTCCGTGGTAATGACTGTCCTTTCACGGTCGACGGGGAACACTTGTTCACGTTGAAACCAGGTCGCATGTGAAGCATCTTCGTGAATAGGATGATCAATTACGAGACAGATGACTTTGCCATGCCCTGTTTCTTCTGGCGCTGACAACCCACATGACAGCTAGCTCGTGACACATTCATTTTGAAAAACAGACAACTACGAGTTTCCCTAATATTTTCTCGTCACGATTCTATTTGTTTTCTAGATGGAATTTTTGGACGAGATGGATAGTTTCATTTCCAGGCCTTTCGTTGACGAATGACATACCGGGTTATGTAGTATTCACCACTGTCTTTACCACAGGGTTACTCCCAGTTTTTACCACTAAACGTTATTGCATTCGTAAAAGTAAAAGAAGAATGTTATATCAATATTGATATATGCTCAATATAATTAATCTTTATTTAATACAATTAAGCTTTAATACAATTAAACATAAATATTATGCAATATAATTCAACATTAATGTCTGCTTACGGTAACCATTGAGTTGATCTTTGCTAGTTACATTTTTGATTGAACATCATGAGAAATTATTTTTAACACAAAACAGCACTTGTTCCCTAATTGCTAACATCATCGACGAATGTTGAATGACTATCGTTAAATAGAAAAACAGCAAATGATGACAAGCATTATTTTGTACAAAGAAACTTCTATGTTTTGCCTAATTTCAGGTAATCATGTATCACGGTGGAGCTAGAAGCTTATAGTGCATGTTTTAAACGCATATTGGATATTTATCATATTTACTGTATATTTCAGAGCTCAATCTCTGATTTTGTAAAATAAAATAAATGGAGTTTATCTGATTCACAAACTTTTATATCTGAATGTTTAATAGTCTGCAATCTTTAACACTCCTATCTGAAATCGACACTTTCACTACCACTTCAAATTCGTTAAAAATTCTAAGATTTAATAGTTTCGCTTCCGACATGTGTAATCGAATATTTTTATAATATTCAGTTCTTTATACTGCAAATACTTTCAAATATTTTAAAATAAACATAAATGTTGATATGTGCTCAATATAATTAAACTTCATTTGATATAATTAATCCTAAATATTGATACATGCTCAATACAATAAACTTTATTTAACATAATTCAACATAAATATTATGCAATATAATTCAACTATAATATATGCTCATCACATATGAGCGCAGTCTGAAACATTGTGGAGCACCATCTCTAAAACCATAATAAAATCATATGACGTAGTACACTTTCAAATTTCATTTATTACATTGCGGAAAGTTTAAAGTCTATCTGTCAATTCATTCTTTGGTTACAAGTTATTCAAAGCTTGTCAGTGTATTTTTAAAAGTGAAAGAAGTTAAGCATCATTCTGTGAATGAATTCTTTATACAAAAGAAGCAACCAATTGAAATTCATACTAAAACAGTAAATATGTTACTGTAATGTGCTCCTCCAAAACAGTGATTTGTAAGTGGACAGATGTATTCAAACATGACCGTACAAGCATTCAATAGGATCCCCGTAAGCGGCCCAGAAGTGCAACAAAGTTATATATCATCCAAAGAATTCATGATGTGGTAATGAAAGACGGGTGAATAAAGTTGCATGAAATATTTGAAACCATATACATTTCAAAAGAATGTGTAGGTAATATTTTACATCGAAAATTAAAAATGAGAAAGCTATGCGCTAGGTAGGTGTTGCATTTACTGCAGTCTCCGGCCATCAAATAAGAACCACGAACGAAAATTTCACTTTTATGGCTGTAACATTATGTCATATATGGATAATTGTCTTAGGTCATGCAAAATTATTACTAAATACGTTGACTTGTACCATTTTCAAAATAAACATTTTTCAAATACCAAGTTTAAGTTAATCAGCCAAATTTCCATCTCCAAAATATTAGGCATTTTGAATTATTTTTACTGCAGATTGCTTAAGTTCCACATTATTATTGGTTTTACTTTTCTTGAAAAACCTGCTTCACTTTCAAAATAAATGGCTTATATAGTACGTGTTTTATATTACACAGATATTATTTGTTATATTACATAATTTAATACCTAACATTATATCATTATAGTATGTATTAGAATTTAACTAACACAGTATTAAGTTTTATATAAAAGGTAAGAAAAAGATAGTAGATAAAAGTGGAAAGTGCTTTAACGATAATGTGTTGCGTAAGAATTACAAATTTTCATTCCATGAAGTAATAAAGATGTTACTTACTTTTATCAAAAGAAGTAAGATTTGCAAGACCTTAATTAAAACCATGAGTTGGTAAAACCTTTCTTAAATTAGCTTATAGGCCTTCATTAAAGTTTGCACAATGATTCTCGTAATTATCCATTTTGCATATATGTAGATACAACCATTACACCGATTTCGAGTTTTTCTACTTTTCAAGATTATGACTAACCAGTTTGTTAAGAGCACTTAATGAATCCATTGAATTTCTAACGAAATTACGTGCTCTTCATTTTTTCTTCCCCCTTCATTCTTAAACTGAAACCGTAACGTCATAAATTTTGTGCTTACTAACTTACAGTTGGTACAGTCCTTTTTATATGTGCGCACGCTTAATTGTATTTAAAAAATGTTGGGTATAGAAATACTTTAAGTATTTGAATTATAATTTATTCGTATTTTGTTCTTATTAACGGGTACAATTTTGAATTGAAAATTTGGAAGTGATTCCTGCATAATTTGGAAGTGATTCCTAGATTTCAAGATTCCTAGATTTTTAGATTTCTAGATTTCAAGATTTCAAGATTTCAAGATTTCAAGATTTCAAGATTTCAAGATTTCAAGATTTCAAGATTTCAAGATTTCAAGATTTCAAGATTTCAAGATTTCAAGATTTCAAGATTTCAAGATTTCAAGATTTCAAGATTTCAAGATTTCAAGATTTCAAGATTTCAAGATTTCAAGATTTCAGATTTCAAGATTTCTGATTTCAAGATTTCAAGATTTCAAGATTTCAAGATTTCAAGATTTCAAGATTTCAAGATTTCAAGATTTCAAGATTTCAAGATTTCAAGATTTCAAGATTTCAAGATTTCAAGATTTCAAGATTTCAAGATTTCAAGATTTCAAGATTTCAAGATTTCAAGATTTCAAGATTTCAAGATTTCAAGATTTCAAGATTTCAAGATTTCAAGATTTCAAGATTTCAAGATTTCAAGATTTCAAGATTTCAAGATTTCAAGATTTCAAGATTTATAGATTTACAGATTCTTAGATTTCCAGATTTCCAGATTTTTAGATTTCCAGATTCTTAGATTCCCAGATTCTTAGATTCCCAGATTCCCAGATTCCCAGATTCCCAGATTCCCAGATTCCTAGATTCCCAAATTCTTAGATTCCCAGATTCCCAGATTCCCAGAATCTTAGATTCCCAGATTCTAATATTCCTAGATTCCTATATTTCTAAATTTTCAGATTCTTATGTTCTTAGATATTTCTTATGTCTAAACTTCTATATTTCTGGATTTTTAAATTTCTAAATTTCTAAATTTCTAGACTTTAAGATTTTAATTTTCGTAAATTTTTAAGTTTGCAAATTCCTCAATTCCAAAATTCGTAAAATTCTAAAATCTCACATTTCTAAATTCCTTGATTCCTAGATTTTTATATTTCTGCATTTCTCTAAATTTATAAAATCCCAAATTTCCACAATTCTATAGATTTAAATAAAAAAATTTTAAATGTTAGAAATTTTAGAAATTCTATATTTGTAAGTCTCTAAATTTAGAACTGTGATCTCTCTAACTAGATTTCTAATTTTCTAGTTTTCTAAATTTCTAAATATTTATATTTCTAAATATTTTAACTTTTAAATAATTTGCTACATTTCTAAATTTCTGAATATCTATATTTCTAAACATTTTAATTTTTAAATGTCTAATTTCCTACATTTCTAAATTTCTAAATTACAATGCTATTGTAATTTCTATTACCTCATCATGCACACTCGATACCTACCGGTGCTCGTAAGAACTATTGCGGGCATTTAACACTAAACCTACCGGCGTATAGTGTATACTTAATTTGAAATTAAAAATGAAGTTAAAAAATAAATAAGCAAATGACGCATCATAAAATAGAACATACATTTATCCTTTATCTTGATGAAAATCAATGCGGATTTCAAGAAATATACTTTAACAAAATGTGTACCTTATAATCAGAAACTTGTGGAGCGGTCATTTGACCGGTTTGATAGTTGTAGTGTTAAACTGCCCAACACTATACTAAAAGTTACATACACATTACATGATCTAAAAATAATGTCCTTCAATCTAAATTCTTTTTCCATTTATTTTTCAGAACCATCGAATTGGTCGCTCTTGTAGCAATTTCCAGCACTCTCTTCCTCTTCCTTCACACAAGAGAGCTGCACTCGCGTCTACGAAAAATGGAAGTTCGTCTACAACCCGGAGAAGACGAGATGCTATCGGCAAATCAGCTCTCATCCGGTAAGTTTTCCACTTTTTCCCTCCTGTACGGATTTTTAATACCGATCAAACGAACAGGAAATCTTTCCTGATGCTCAGAGCGGAAGGAATGTATGAAAAAACGTAGAATGTTAGTTATTTTCATAAATTATTGCTTATCAAGTAATTTTATTCCAGTTATTCAAACTGTGTTGCAAATACTGTTACACATGAAGGCATTTCTATTTGTGATTATGTTCTATTTGTGTAATCTCAATTGCCTCATAAAGGAAGCTATTTGCACCGAAGTTACTGCAGAAGTGGAAGCTATAAAATGTAAATTGAAATGTTTATGTTGTATTGCTTTAGTAGGTATTATAAGTACATTTTATTGTACAGTTATTTCTTTCATGTGATTTGTAAACAATTTTAATATTTATGCTTATAATTACTATAATTGCTACATATACATATTTTCATCTAACTTATATTTGCTTAGTTTTTAATTTTTTTTGTTTCTGGAAAATAATTTCGTAAATTGTAGACCTCGTTGGGATTTTTTCAAAATACTACCTATGTCTGTTTGTCATTTTGTAGTTTTCTTAAAACTTTGTATGTAGAACATTAATTTTCTTTTTACGAATAGAATATGTTAATAAAGTTTGAAGGTAAAAAATTGGGACTCCGAATATGTTAAAGCTAGGAAACGGGACGAACAGACAAATCTGTCACAAATATTTAAAAAAATAAGAGATCCATTAATTTATTAACCTTGTGAAGCACACGATTTTAAAGAAGATAAAAAGCCAAGTTACACAGAATTTTTTCTTTAATATAAACATATGGGAAACACGTTCATTTCAATTATTTAACATAAAAACGTAAACTATTCAAGGTAATTAAAATACATCTCTCCATGCATAAAAGGCTAAGCAAGCGGTGAGATAGTTTTTAACCTAATCTTAAAAAATTGAAAATTGTTACTCAGAGTCAGGTTCTCAGCAACATATGTCAAAGTCAAAGTCACCAGCGTGCTCCTCGTATACAGGCTCTCTCTAAAGTCCGACCTCATCCTCATATTTCGAAAACTGCTTTAAATACAGAAAAATGTTTTAGACAAAAGTTGTAGGATATCAAGGGTACATAAAATGTTTGCAACAATTTGCCCTTGAATGGTCGTTTCAATGTCACGTGAACATCTTCAGTTTCTTAAATAGAACCCCCATTTTTTATTGCATATTCTTGTAGTCCTCATTTGGGCGCCTTCGAAACACTACCTATGTTTTTTCTGCAAGTTATTCCCAAGATATGAAGCTTCAAAGGTGACACATAAGAGGCGTAAGGTCGTGCAACCTTCACACGGTATACCTTGGATAATGTGAATGCCGACATGTCAACTTTGAAGCTTCATATCTTGGGAATGACTTGCAGAAAAAATAAACATTGGTAATATTTTAACAACGTCTCAAGGGTTATAAGAATACGCAATAAAAAATGGGGGTTATATTTAAGAAACTGAAGATGTTCACAAGATCTTCAAACGACCATCCAAGGTTAAATTGCTGTTACCATCTTATGACCCTCTTAACATCCTACAATTTTGTCTGATATATTTTTCCACATTTAAAGTTTCCAAAATGTAAAAGTAGGGGCGAACTTTAGAAAGATTCTGTATAATTACTCCAAACGTATTTCTCTTTTATTAGAAAATATCTGATGAAATAGTTGTAGACAAATCGTTTCAAAATACTTGCATATTATGAAAAGAATCATGTAAGGCTATTATTCTTAAGGTGACAGCATCTGTTTAGAAATAAATTGAACAATTGAATAAAGCCATTTTTGAAATATAAAGATCGAGTTGGTCCTTAGAGGTCCTGTATAACAGTAGATATAGAAATAGAAAATAAACTAGAAACTAAAATAGAAAAATTTTCGCCAATTGCGCGGAAAGAAATATCTAAATCAGCACAGAGAACAAGAACACAATGAACTGGCACACAGTCACACGCACGCGTGTGGAACAGTGTCCTCCACATCAAGGAGATCAGACTTCCCGGTTGAAGAAGGTCAAGGTGTGAGAGTGAAGGTACAAAGACCGTCGCGGTCGAGAGAAACGTGCATTTCAGGTGTGCGCGATTATACGTACACATAAGCGTATGTGAACCATTAGATGGTTATCGTTCCAGCGCGTAGCATTTCGCATTCGCGAGATACGTAACGGTATCAGGGCCCTCGTTTGTCCGTAACACGCTAATTAGCTGCTCCGGATTCTCTATGTATATCGCTCCGATTTTCTGCTCAACAACTGCTGTTTCCAATTTGTTACCGAGCATTTTGCGATCGGATCGATGAATCGTTCCATTCTTGGAAACTGTAATGGGCGGCAACAAGTTGGAAACAAGCCGTTTAACCTTCGTAGTAGATACCCGCTGTTGAGTCGATTAGCGCTTAATATTTCCTTCTACGTGCTACGTTTGTTGAGACACCTTCAAGAGAATTAATTATATTTTTAAATGTTCACTGCATATTTTTTTTTTTAATATGTGAAGGTCTATATAATTGCTCACGATCTTTCTAGACATTTGTAATTCGCAAGCTTTTAAAACTATGATCAGATTGAGGTTGTAACACGTCACTCAATAAGTCCCCGGTTTGACACATATATCGCGACACTGGTGACAGACCCACGTTATTTTCGAATAATACTAACCTTCAAACAGTATGTGTCAAAATTTCATGGTATTCTGACCAATAGCTTAGAAGTTACAGTCATTTTAGTACTCCCAGTTTCATAATTTTGAAGACAATGGATAGAAAGGAATTTCGTGTGTTGATTAAACACTGTTTTTTAATCGGAGAAAATACTGTTGAAGCCAAAAAGTGACTTGATAAGCATTATAGGGACTCTGCACCAAGGAAATCAACTATCATTGACTGGTATGCTGAATTTAAACGCGGTCATACAAGCGCCGATGATGCTGAACGCTCTGGTTGCCCAAAATCAGCAGTCGTTCCGGAAAACATAAAAAATGTCACAAAATAGTTTTAAAGGGCCGTAAACTTAAGTTGTGTGAGATAGCTGATGCCTTGAAGATATCAGAAGGTAATGTCTTCACAATTTTGCATGAAAATTTGGGCATTTGCAAATTGCTTCCAAAGTGGGTGCCGCGTTTGCTGTTTCACGAAGGCAATGCGCCGTGTCACAAGTCGATGAACACGATGGTTCAATTCAATGAATTACGTTTTGAATTGTTTCCCCACACACCGTACGCCCCAGATTTGGACCCCAGCGACTACTGGCTCTTTGCAGATATGAAAAAAATGCTCCAGGGAAAGAGATTTGGCTTAAATGAAGAAGTGATTGCGGAAACTGAAGCTTATTTTGGGGGCAAAGACAAATCGTTTAATATAAAGGGAATTGAAAAGTTAGAGGAGCGTTGGAATCAATGTATCACACTGTTGGAATCAATGTATCAGTATCATACTGGAAGGAATGTATATTGATGATTAAAGTGGAATTTCTAAAAAAAAATTTGTTTTTCTTAGTTAGACCGGAGACTTATTGAGTGACGTGTTATTTACAGGAGAATACCACGTTACTGCTCGTGAATGATGAATAATTCAGTTTTCTGATATCTGTATCACATTTAAACCACTCTTACATGACAGAACGTATGTTGATACGAACACCGGCATATGTTAAACAGAGCCTTTGCCCCACTCAGAAGTTTCTTTTTCTAACTTACAAAATTGATTATTACCAAACATTTAAAATCTTGGAAAACATTCTCCAGATGTTTTTTTTACATCTGTGTTGATTTCTATCGACATAAAGAACCAATGTGTATTATTTGTACTTCATCGTTTATTTATTTTATTTTTAATTTTAAACTATGTATATCAGTATTATTATTTTAAAAAAAGGAGTAAGTTTAAAGGTTAAAGGTTAATCTGTCGTGCAGGTACCAGTCTCATATTCCCCACATACTTACCGTAATGTTACATACTGTTATTACTCATGAAACGCTATTTCATATGATTATTTGAAAAAATGATGATAAGCTTCTTACGAGCTGATGCGAGAGTGAGATAAAAATCAATTACAATAGCTTAAGGCTTAAGGGTGAGGTAGCTTACGGAACAAGATTCGCCAAACTACTTCTGGTTATAAATATTGATACTGAGTTGCTCTGTGGAACAAGATCAAAGATTTCCAGCAATCCCATTTTCTGAAGAAAAACCGTGTAATTTGTATAATTAGAAACATTTCACGTAGGCGTAAGAAAGTGCGTAGCTTGTAAAGAATGTTGGAAAACGAAAGTGTAGGGCAGGGAGATGATGAATCGTTTTACATATTTCTATTGGGAGTACTGTGTATTTAAGACAATACGATTTACTAATGAATACAGCTGGGTACGTAATTTATTCTCGTATTTGAATTGTTGAAATCTGAATTTTTTGATGCGGAAAATGATAATTGGGAGGGTTGGAAAGTTATGGTACTGCGAAAAGGGTCAAACTGTTGATCGAATGTGGTTAGTACATCAGTTTATTCACTTTTCGACAGATAATATTAAATTTGTCAAAATATTGTTATTAAAAATGTTGATTTCACACGTTGATCGCCACAGTGAAAACTGATGTTTGTGGACAACACAGATTATTCAGAACAAGGATACTTTTAATTTATTTGTGTATATTTTTGCTTTAATATTAAGAGCTTTTAAGAGTTACTTTTGGTTGAATTTTAGTAATTAAACGCAAACAAATGCGTTTCCTGAAATAATTTATTTCGCTAAATTTTGCAGCGTAACATATGACCTTCAGTGATCAACGTTTTAAGAAGAAAATATTTGTTTTCTTGAAGAAGTGATTCTTCTGACAAAAAGATATTTCTGATGTGCTTATAATAAAAAAATATATTAATTCACAAATACAAATACAAATATGATATACGTTATTCTTAACAAAAATGTAATGATTCTTTTAACCATAACAATTTTTAATAACGACATTGTTATCTATTCATTGTCAGAGTT